TGCCGATGACATCGTCGTGGCAGAGAAGGTGGCAGCCCTCGGTGTAGACGTTGATGGCCATGTCGGTCTTTTGCCCGCTTAGCTTACCGGAGCCAGTCACGGACGACAGGTACTCGCGGAACCGTGCTGAGTAAATCGCATCGCGCAGCTTCAGTAGTGACGGCAGTTTCGAGAGGGAGGAGTCATCCAGTCCATCGAGGTTGGCGAGATCGCCAGACTGGAAGATCTTGTAGATGTCTGTTTCCTTCTCGGTGAAGGACACTTGCGTTTCGATCTCATCGCGGACGGAGCGAAGCAGAGTGGGCTCGATCAGAGGGTGAATGACGCCATGAAGGTAGCTAGATATTGAGCTATGTCAGCTTTTGCCATTGGAATATTCTGCTGTATATACATACGGAGAAGATTTGGCGTATTCACTGGTGTACTTCTGCTGCTCCGCAGTGTCGAACAGGCCGTCGCGGAAGCGGGCAGCAGCCTCCTCGCTGGAGAGGGCCCGTTTCTTGGACTTGGGCATGGAATTGCCATCGAGAGAGGCCCTTGCGTCTGTCTTGCGCTTCATTTTGAGGTTTGCAGAGGAATGGGAGCTTCGACAGCAAGTGGCCTGATGTTTCATAGATTTTTCTGGGCGGTGAGGGGCGATGAGGCGGTCACTGTGTTTGTGTTGGATCTCCATGAAGATCGCAGTTCACTTATATTGTTGAGTCTATTATCATTTATACAATGTATGGTACGTCTCTAATATAAATGTAGTAAAATCTCCATCAGTATTGTGTTAAGCAACTGTATTCTAGGAGGCCTGGTCTCTTCGTAGATGGGTGGCGCATAGCCGATGCCCTTGTCTTTCTAATAAAATAGTTCTGCACGTTAGTCTTTCCTTTCTCCTTATGACCTGAAGGAGCAAGTTCCTCATAACCACCGTCTTCGTTTCGATCGAAGCCATAACAGAGCACATGTGATTGCGCCAAATCCAGGCACCGGTGTCGTCATAACCGCCTTATCACCGCAAAGACCTCGATTGTCCCCCCACTTAACCCCAACCTGCTTGATTCTTCAACTCTGTCGAATCTCATTATGCAGCAACCAGGGGCTGAAGCCCCGATCCCAGATCAGCCGGGAACTCCACCTCGCCCGCCCTACTCCCCGGTAACGCCCGTGTTTGCTCATCTCGTGCCAGTCGCCTCCAACGAGCCATCAATCGTCCCGCCACCCGCATCTCCCTCTCCAACATCACACCTCCCTGCACAGCCATATGGCAACTATTCAATCCCCCCTCCTCCTCCCAATCCACCCGTCTTCAAGCCTCAACCGCCCCCTATCCCTATCTCCGAGAGCGAGAATCCAGATGCCATCGCGCTCCGTTCCGCCATCTCGATTCTGCAAATGCAGAAGCAGCAAAGTTTGCGCGACATCCAGGCATTGGATCGCATGAAACAGGCCGCCGCTGCTGATCCAGAGGGGTTTGCGCACGAGCTCGCAGCAGGTCGGCTGAAGACCCAGGATCACGGCGCTGTGATTCAGTTCTCGGAGGACGATGCGGACGACGAAGAGAATGAAGACGGTTCAAAACGCACGAATCCTGACCGCTCACCCGTTTCGAATTTCGGCCATATCCCTGTTCCGCAGAATATCGTCCGTATGCCCCCAATCAACTGGGCTAAATATCAGGTTGTTGGAGAGCCGCTTGATCGCATGCACGAGGAGCAATTACATCGACCGAGCTCTGGGGAGCCCAGGCGAGGACGCGCGCCGGAGCATGTCCTGGCATCGCCGTATCGGCCGTTTGTAGATCACTTGGAGGGACCGTCGAGACTCGGCCGTCCTAGCAAGGCGAAGAAGACTTGAACACGCCAATGGTTCTGATGATAACGGATATGGGATTATGGACTTTTACGAAGTTATGTACTTTAAGATTATGAACAGAGCTGGACTTGTGTTTTCTTGACTATTTAGGTTCCTTGGGTAAGTTGGCGTTTTGTCTTGTGCACTTTCTTGATAAAAAAGACGGAGAAAGGAAACATACGTGATTTATCTATGCCTTGGAGGTTTCAGGGTTCTAAATTTGTTGTACAATATACAATATCATATAATCAAAAGAGGCGCTGCAATTATATACAAATCCCTATTTCGCATTAAGGAGATGACCTTCCGAAGAACAACCATAGCTTATCCCATGGCAAGACTCTCCTGCAAATCTTCAGGCAAAACAAACAGAGTCTCTTCAGGCAAACAACCCTTGGCCTCATCAACCTTCCCATCCTTAAGATAACCATCGATCAGCCTCATAGTATCAGTCACATCCGTAACAGACACAATCCACTCATCAATATATCTCCCGACAGCCTCCCCACTTAACCCAATCTGAATACTCCGATAATCCAAAGACCGTAGAAAGAGATCACGCTCAGGATCCCACTGAACGCGTACTGGACTGGCACGCAGTTTCTTCTGCCATTCCTCCTGGCTTGTCTCGCCAGGCATGTAGTGACTCAAACAGGAATGGCGCAATGCCCATTCGAATCCCTCGCGGGTAATCTCTATCGCTAGGACACGCTCCTGTCGGGCTTTGGTCGCCCAGCCTGATCGGTATGCCATCCATAGGAAAGAGGGCTTGATCCATGTCATTCGCTCCCATGAAAATGGTGGGACGAATGTTTGGGCTTTGAGTGCTGGCCCGGCTATCTCGGGGGAATATGCTTGGTACACTGTGATTGTGTTTGGGGTTTGTTTTGCTCGGATGGCCTTATAGTTATTTGAGGGCATTGTGAGATGCAAGTGTGTTGAAGAGCGGAGATGGATAAATAATATCCAGGCGTGGGAATAGCAATGATGCGATGATATAGTGAAATCTCCCAGTAAGCGTAGAAATTGTACTTCGACCTTCAAGTACCTATGATATATCTTGGCCTTAAGCCTCACAGCACACACCAAGCCTAATCGGGACTCCGCTATACTCATCACCGAATCAGCTGATAAACTTAACTGAAGGATAGACTTCCTTCACACCTGAGGCTATTGATGATGCCTCGGGACTCTTTGTATATAAGGCATAGGAATTTCCGCTGACAGAGTAGTCGTCAGGGCAAAGCATCGAGAGTTGGACTATGGTGCGGGTGCCAAGCACAGGGAGCTCTTTTATCTGCAACAACACGGCTGGCAACTATAAAAATGTAAGTTTAAGATGCGCTGGCAGTCGTGAGGAAATATGAAAATACGGGGACTACCGATAAGTTCAGTACAGGGTCTCGTGAATAAAGAGCCTTTACTTGTATCGGTTCGATACTCCAGCAATTTCTACAAGGAACTCTCTACGAAGTTATCAGACATGGCTTCGAATAAAAATATCATTGTATGGAAAACACTAAATGCAATGATGGTCTTCACCCACTTCAAGAGGAGGGACAAGAAAAGCTATGCACAAGAATTTGGCCTAGTTCTGAGCTAGGAGGGCCTCCTCAGGTGAAGGAAAAGCCCCCCGAGGACACATTTGTCGTGCGTTCACTTCTTGTGTGGACGCTTTCCAATCACCTGATCGATTCCTCCCATTGCCTCCCAGTAACGCGCATGAGCCTCCTGGGTACGCTTCCTGTTGGTATCGGCATCGTCCTCGGACATGCCAGAGGTCTCGTCGACCTCGAAGGGGGATGCATCCAGAGCTTGGTTGGTGCCTAGCTTTTCCACGATCCCAGAGTCTACAAGACGCTGGGTATTCTCCCTAAGGCGTTGATTGGCACCGGGACCATCAGGCTTGCAGGCTGAGAGAATATGGTTCTCACAAGCCGCGTTCACAGGCGGTTGTGCGAGATGGATCTAGATTACATGAGTCAGTTAAGGATCAGGGAGGGGTGCTCTGGAATAAGTATCTTACATTGAGGGCACCAGAGGGCGTGCCGGGCCTGGATGTCAAGATGCTTTCGCCGAGGGGAATGTTGAAGCTGGTGTTGGCCAGGATTATGGCATCGGCGTGTCCACTATGCTGATGGTGATATTGAATCATGGCCTGTTTTCGGGCCTCTTCATAGACGAGGCTATCAGCTTGGTGGAAGGCCGAGATCTCGTCAAATGACAGCGGGATATGGGGATGCTTCTCCATCTCGATAGGTGGTGGAATGACTTGATGATGTTAGCTTGGATGGGTCAAGGTGAAGATGAGATCAAGGAAGGAAAATACTCACCAGGGGGGTGGTTATTTGGGTATTGGGATGGAGGAAGAGAGAGAAGATCCTTGTTCTGGCAGGGCCGAGGGCGTTTTGCTTGACTTCTTAGAAGAAGAGGTCGGTATTTTGAAATATTGAAAGAGATGAAAGTATCGAGCAATGGTTGGTACGATCTGAAAGTCTTGAGAAGTCGACCGTGAGGGATGCAGTTGTGATGAACAAGTCAGAGAACATTGAGCAGTTGATGCTGTCTTTGTCAATCGAAATATCAATTGATTACTCTCGAATAGAAGGAGCGATAGCCATATCTACTAGTCACTATACTGACAGAAAGGACATCATAAAATCTTTGAAATACAAGATTCAAGATTCAGGTCAAGATCCCAGGGTATCGTCATCATAACATGATAACATGAAAGCTGCAAGATGAGCTTGAATACATGCTTTTTTTCAGTGGCTTCGTGTTAGCCATGTACAACCATGAGCCGCGAGCGTTCTCTAAAGCAAATAAAATGCCAGATTACCTGCTGGTTGATAGATCAATACGGGAGGAATCCTTCTTTAATTCAGATACATGCGCATTGTTGTTCTCGGTGTATTGATCATGGTACATCTTGTTGCTATGACTAGCCTGGAAGGTTTGGTCTAGCCCAAACTCTATGAAAACATCTAACTAATCTATTTCTTGCTTGGGCTAAGAGGTTTATTTCCAGCCTCTTCGGGAATATGGCACCGACACAATAGGATAAGGCATTGTTCTAAATGCTTGAACCAAGAATTGAGTATATGTACACATCCTGGTATGATATCAACAAAGGAATCCAAGAGCTTCGAGGTTGCACCCATTCAAAGCTTCGCTTTCCCATTCTTCTCAAACTGCTGTACAGCCTCTAGCCCTCTTTGCCGAACAGCTTGATTCTTCTCTTCGACATTCTTCCGCCACTGCAAGTTTCCAACATGGTCATCCAAGCCGTTCAAGATGCCACAATACATCTCCTCTTTCATGGTACCGTAGATACCTGTGGCAGCTTTAGTCTGGAGCTTGCGGGTCTGGATCAGCGCAAGCGCTTCCTCAGCCCCACCAACGGCATCAACGATACCAGCCTCAAGCGCATTTCGTCCACCAAAGCGGTGAGCTTCGAGAACCACAGTCCGGAAAACGACTGGCGTCAGCTTCTCGCGGAATATAGACATCATGGGTGTCTGGAGCGGGACGCCAAATTCCAGCTCGTTGATACAGAGGAAACCACGGTCTGGATTCATGATTCGGTAGTCATGATACATGGCCAACATGAAGCCAGCAGCAAAAGCGTGTCCATTTAGTAGACACACGGTTGGCATGGGGTATCTAGGGCGGTTGTTAGTATTTTAAATATACATAACTCGACTTTATCCTCGAACTGAGCACTTGAGACAACAACATACGTCAAAAAGCGTCGGAACAATCGCCAGATCCAGTTCTCGCAGAACCCTTTAGTTTTCTTGACAATGTCGAGATCAAGCCCATTGCTGTAGAACTTGGCAATTCCACTAGTCGTGACTAAGACACCCTTGGGGTAGCGGTGCTCGACAATGTCGAGAGCGAGCAGCAGAGCATCAATAAAAATGGGTGTCAGTCGGTTGTCCGGGGGCGAACTAAAGGTGAGCACGTAGATGGTCTCATGCTCTTTCGCTGTGCTAGGGTTTGTGCAGACGATCGAGCCTCCAGTAGAGCTGATCGGGACGGTGAAAAGAGTCGTCATGATGGTAATATTTGGAATATGGAAGTTGTTGAGGAAACATAGCTTGTTCAAATAGATCGATTATTTGAATACTAATCAGACCTCGGCACCATCACATGCCGCAATGATGTCATCACGTGATTACCGAAGCCATTCAAAGGAAAACACATCGCTCGTGATATTGGCAGCTCAGAAGATCTTCAGCCTACACGTAATGGACCGGAGTTTACGCTTCTCTCGATAGGAAATTGTTCCTACCGGGGTGCTATTTTTAATTTGTCCGAGCTCGCAATAGAACATCCATGCCAACCCAAATACAAACTTGTCAAGCTCCTGATACGCCGTTTCCCACATTGTCATTGACACATTGCTCTTGGAGTTGGCATGTTCAGGGTCAACCTTAGATCGTGCGCGCCTCTTCTGAACATCCTTCTCATCCGTACGTGAGTTTCTTTTCAGCCGGGGTGACGGCCTGCGCGAGGAAAATGATAAGCGGATCCACCATCCCGGCCGGTTCGGGGTAGGTGGTTGGAAGAGAACTGCTTCTTCCCTCAGGTGACCTTGTCCTTACCCTTGATGATAGCCTTGAGTGCGGCAATGGCGTCGTCTAGGTATACGACGTCTGTCTCAAGTCGAAGATTCAACAACCTTAGGAAAAGCTTCTAGATGTGCACAAGTAGCGGTCAGTTATATTGTGTAACAGAGGCTAGCTATTGAAACAAACCAGAATCCGATCAGTAAGATATTCCCAATGGTAAGGAAATAGATATATGGCGCATGCCAACGTTCGATTTAAAGTGTCCGGAGATTTGGCATATTCAAATCCGGGGCACGGATACTCTCTTTGGTACTCTAGCGCGAAAGACCAGAGCAAGGTACAAAGTGTGTTACTTCGGAAAGACCAAATTTTCCAGAGCTGGCTGTACCACTGCTTCAGTCTTCTGGCTATATGTTTTCACAGTTGCAGCTTTCCCGGCTAGCGGGGTTAAGTGAACACCGTCCTCCGTGTAAGCGATTTTTGGATCCGTTGGGCTGCACCGTACCATCAACTCGTACAATCTTGGGTCATGATTGTCGTAGTCCAGTTGTAAGGAATTGTTATTGGTCGCCGTTCATAGGCTGGCTGGGCCTACGACTTCGCCGAACTGGAAACCGCGGTATGTCGGTGCCTTTGTCTTTGTAGATTTTAGGTACATCGGTTAGGAAATGAGCCACGTGGCCGCGATAAAAGTATTGCTGGCCACGTATCTGTCTGACTTCAATGATGGTATGTACGCGAGATATCAGCATTTCCTCGACCTGGGTTAGCTCTGGTTTAAACGTAGGGACATCCCCAGGGTCCATAATATTATGGGCATCGAATAAGTAAACGCGGTCAGCGGGTTCCTTGATCATCGCTGCTTTATCCTTCTTGCGGCAACGCTGGCAAACGCCCACCGATGGGCCTCGGACTGCGAGCTGGAGATCGAATTCACAGTCACAGTCATATGACCTGGCTGTATTCTGCAAGTGGGCGAGAACTGCAAGAGCCCAGTCCTTACTCGACCATGTCATTTTGCCCTGGATCGCACCGATCCTTTTGGTGAATTTGTAGGTAATGAACGCGATCGAATTGAGACCAGCGTTGGAAGACGGTAGACCGGCAACGAACTCAATACAGAGCCTGTGGAACGGGATTGGCGGACCGATTATAGGCTGCAGAGAGCTGTACGGTCTATGCCGTCTCGTGCTATTCCGGAGACATTCCGGGCAATTTTGGGTATATTGTTTCAGGAGCCGCATTCAGCTTGAATAGAAACACCTGGCTCATGATATTGTCCCCGATCCGCTCACGGCACCTTGCAATCTGAGATCCTAGATCGCTATATAGCACATCTTAGTATCCACACATAGCTATCACTAGCGGGAAAGACGTACTTGGGATCAAGATCGGATTCATTCCAACTTTTTGACGTATCAGGGAGATTGACATTGGATTCGTTGCCGGCTTTTTCCATCTTGTTTGCGGTTTTGGCAATGTCGGCGGCGGAATTTGGCCCTCGTAGGATTTTTTCAAATCTAATGCCAGTGCAGCAGGATCCAATTCCGGGCCGAAGGAGTAGAACCGGCCTTCGTCTTTCGTATGGAGGTGATGACATAGTGAGATTCTCGCTTGTGAGTAGCGGCTCACCGAGGATGATCCATTTCGAGGAAAGAGATAGGAAAAATGGCGTTAAGTTGCAGGAGGGAGAGAAGCAAACCTTGGAAGATATACCTCTGGAGAGGTATAATGCCTGAGGTACTAATATTGAGGCCTGAGGTTAAACGCAACTCCACTGCCGGTTGCGCGGAGTTGGTCCAGTACTTCTTCTTGCAGTAAACACGGGGGCAAATTCTCTGAGGAGGGCTAAGTGGAAAAGCCCTTACCGCGTGGTGATAGTCCTTCCTTGGGGGTCATACACATCGTTGAACAAGACCGTAAGAGAGAATTGGAGAGTCCAGACCCCTTGGGCCTCAACCTTTCTGAGGAATATTGTTTCCTCATATGTGGATAGAAAGGCATGTCGAACATTCAGTTCCTGCATGTAGCGGGCAACCTGCCCTGCAAGATAATATGAATACAAAAAGTGTGAGGTATGAGGTGTAGAATCGAAACATGTTTGAAGTCAGGTCATGGGGTATATATCTGTACTTTAGGACTGCCATGAGAAACTGAATTGAAGAAAAGCCTCCTGGTCATTTTGGTTGTCTTTTCGGATGTCTTTTTGGATATATATATCCTGCCAAAAGCATAGACTGTACACGTGATTCTTCTTTATATATAACCTTCAATTGGTATGCAAAAAATTCTTATATTATGACTATACTATAGGCAAAATCTGATATGGTGCCATACTCCTGGGTTCAAAGGCGACGGCGTTATAAATCGAAGCAAAAATGAAGTTTAACTCTCATACTGTCACTTGATAGTGTTATGTAAGCCTTTATTAGACTTCCCTGCTGTCTTACCTCTCTTTCACTCGGAAGTCAGATCTCAGTTTCGGATATTTTGTCACAGACAAAAGAAACAACGAGGCAAATTGATTCATTGAGGGGTCGAGACCTCGAGCATGTGGAGATAATAAAGAAAAATCTAGAACAATGAGCTTCAAACGCTTTGAGTGTCTCTCATAGGTAGCATCTTTGAAGTGTAAATTAGGCAATGATAAGTCTCTTGGTCCCACATAATTTTAGATCTTTTCATCTAATTATATATTTGACTGGGCAATCTCTCTTGATACTCCTCAGATCTAACAACTGACAATCAACTCTAGGAAACTCGATACATTTGCATTACTGACATACATCCACAACAATGTCCCCGAAACCCGTGTTTGGCCCAGGCCTTGAAGCAGACTACACCAAAATAGTCCGAATTGTGGAAACACAGATTGAAACTCTGACATACAAGGCATGGCGACGTCATGAAGTGATTGAGAAACTCGAAAGCCTGTGTCGGGAGCTGGGATTCCAAGCCACCTGCGATGAACGCAAGCCTCGCCGCCATCTTCTTGGGTATGCCCAATTCCAACGTTTTTCCATGACGCTTAGACTTTATTTACCCGAGGCAATCCTAGTCCTCACCAGTGACTGGACCAGTTACCAGATAAGTAGCCGGGCCTTCGACTGGGTGCGGGGGGATGAGATGGAATATACGGCAGCTTGTGTTCTAAAGGAGGCACTTCTTGCCGCGCAATCTACTGCCTGGTATCTTTGAAATCGATTGTCCGGAGGATTGATTTCTCGACGGTATATTGGCAGATCCTGATTCACTACTTATCGAGCAGTTCTGACAAATTCATCTAAATCGGCGTTTTTCTCTCCCATAATTTGTTCTTCCTCCGGGAAGTACGTTCAATCAACGTATAAGGAGCTTAGCGCTGCGGTGGAGCTTTTAATCTCATTTAGCGTTGAATTGAGAAGTTGAAAGGACTAGAGACGGAGGCGGTAGTGCCAGTGCCCGACTTGGAAGTTAAGTTGGCTATGGTTATGGAGCTCACTGCTAAGGTGGAACTAGTACACAACACAGTGCTTTGAGCTCAGCGAACGAGGCGGAAAATTGGTGGTAGCGCCGAGGGTGGGAGCGAAGAGGACAAAGCCGTAGGAGACGAAGTGTATATGGCAATGTCGGTGCGGGAGCAAGATGTGTCGTAATATATAGAGGCCCCCGCGGGGGTGTAGTTGACCATCTCAACTGATTCGACGTACATCGTGAACCGCCTTTGAGTGATCAGCTTCTCTACCGGCTCAGTCGGTCATATCGTTGATTTTTCTCGGATCGCCTCCTGTTCAGATCCGAATTCGAAGGGTATCGGCCTCTGTTGGAAGAGAGTTCGATCTTTTGCATAGTCGACTGTCCGGATAACGGTGCCGTCAATTGCCCAGTGCTTATGTATATATCACCAGATTTCCGTCATAGAACATGTAGTCGTCGGTTGAAATTGTCGGGCATGATATTGCTCGTGGATCATGAACTCAGCACCATCATGCCCAGTGACCAATGGCTGTCCAACAACCCAAAGCCGAAGTGCGTCAATTCGTTGTTTACCCCTATTAGACGTAGACGTAGGGTTTGTCGAAGGCATTTCAATCTGAGGCTTTCGAAGCGAGAGCGAGGAAGAATGAAACAAGGGACAGTCTGGTGGGAAAATATAAGAGTCAGCTGTTTAGATCTGTGAAAGACTTCCTAAAGTAGTAGAGTTGGTGCAAACACTGCGCTCATGCGTAAGAATCAGGTCTTCCCTAGCATTTTTGATTTTTTTGGCGGCTAAATAAGAAGTTAGATATAGCTGTTAGAGGAAAATATAGTAAGTAAAAGACAGTGTGATTTAACTCCTATAAAAGTGTTAAGTGGCGGGATTGTGTCTATCCATACACTGTGCGGAAAGATAGGGCTAGCGGGGCCTCAATATAGAGCGAGTCCAACTACTTTGGCAAGGAGATCATTTGCCTGCCAATTCCTGCAGTCAATGTTCAAGCAAGGGGATGCTCCAATGGACTAACTGCAGATGGACCAGGGAAATGAAGTGCTTGTCAAAGTAGTTGATCTCGATCTAAGTTGATTCCCCATTCGTACTAGGACGGTCCTATATTGCAATATTGTTAGAATAGAATAATATTAATAGCTCTGATCACCTTAATTTCCGAATATAAGCTTTCTTAGCAAAAGAGAAAATAACTAAAGAGGAAGCTGAAGAGGCGAGCTGGTTTTTAAATACTCTGCCAAAGGGCTTCGTCACCTTGATAATACCAATCCACAGGGCTTTTCCCATTGTTTTTCTTTTCTTCCTTTCGCCTTCCGTTTCCTTCTTGTGTCCACTTTTTAATTTCCTCGCCTTCCTCTTTATCAGGCAATAGCCAATGGTCGGATATTGTTCCTGATCTGGTTTCTCGGAGCGGATGCTGGCGGGCTAACCAAAGTAGCGTAGCCAATCGGCATCGAGAGAAGAGCCGGGTAATTACGCTGCCTGTGGGTCTGCAACAGTCGCCTAACCCGATGCGGCAGTGCAATTTGCGCTAAGGAGCTAGCTAGTATATAGCGCCGAGTCAAGCTTCGCAAAACCTTTGCCTCGGACTCGGAGATAGTCTTAGTCTCTCCTTTAGTCTCCATAGCTTCGGGCTCAACTGGAACGATTTGCCTGGCACTTTCGACGCTAGGCTGGACTAAGTATGGACAAGGTTCTAATTACAGCGCGAAGTGGTGATTCCTTTAGCCTACGCTCTCGCTTATTGACCTCCTTAATCTTGATTTTTCGAGCAGTCATGGCGAATTCTTCATTACACTTATATCCACTGGCTCTCTGATCTCCTTTTGTGGATGTTCTTTTTAGAGGCTAATTCTCACACATCCATCCCCTCCCGCGATCGTGATACTTCCTTTACATTGCGATATAAAGCGACATTGTGCGCGTGCTAGGACCGGACCGAGCATACTGCGTTGACGAAGACCTCCGACATCATGAGATCCTGGTTCTCGTTCCTCCTTTTGTCCCTGACGACCATTGTCGGGGTCACCAATGCCACCGCCGAATACACGGGGACAACCTGCAACCCCCTCAACAAGACATGCCCTGCGGATCCGGCCCTCGGAACAGAGCACACGTGGCTGTTCAACTCAACTCTCGACAGCGATCTCTGGGACATGAGCACCGGCACTCTGGACTACACATCTGAAGGAGCCGACTTCATCATCAAAACCGAGAACGCGTCGACGCTCCTCGTGTCCAACTTTTATATTTTCTTCGGCGTGATGGAAGCGCACGTCAAGATGGCTAAGGGGGCCGGTATCATTAGCAGTGTGATCCTGCAATCGGACGACCTCGACGAGATCGACTGGGAGTGGGTTGGATACAACACGAGCGGAGTGCAGTCCGATTTCTTCGGCAAGGGGAACACTACCACGAGTGATAGGGGTGGATATCATGCGGTTGCAAATGCCGATACCGAGTTCCACAACTATACCTCGTACTGGGATCGAGACCGCATGGAATGGTGGATTGACGGCGACTTGGTGCGGACAGTGAACTATTCCGAGCCATTGACTGTCTACGGTAAAAACTACCCGCAAACACCGTGTCAGGTCAAGGTTAGCAATTGGCCGGTTGGAGTCAAGGGACAGTCGCAAGGCAATCTGGAATGGGGTGGTGGTTTGGTTGATTGGTCCGATGTTCCGTTCACGATGACTGTATCGAAGATCCGCGTTCAGGACTTCTCCAGTGGAAAGGAGTACAAATACACCGGAACCACGGGCACCTATGGCAGTATTGAGGTTGTCAGGTGAGTTTTGTTTTGAATCGGTTATTCAAAGAATCCCGGACTAACTTCAATTCTCAGTGGAAACTCAACTGCCGTGACAGTAATCAACAAGAAACCAGAGGAGACCCTCGCGCAGAAATGGGCTGATCTTGGCAATGGGGCGCATATCGGTGTGTACGTCGGTGCAGCTGTGGCTGGTGCGCTTATGATTGCCGGATTCGGATTCTGGTGTATGAAGCAGCGTCGGAGCGGCCGTCTACAACGCGCTTTGAACGATGACGAACACACCGCCGAGCTCACGACGTTGGAGCAGTCAAAGTTGAGATGGAGGCAAAGTGAATTGCGTAGCAAGGGCAGCTACCAGCCGGTTCCCTAAGAGGGTCACTTGGATTGTATACTATGTTTCAGTCATGTTTATTAATTTAATGTAGCACATTGTTATATATGCCGTTTATTTAAAGAGCTCAAAGCCGGATTTCATCATCGGTCACATTATAGCATATTATGTGTCTGCCTTATCTCAGGTGTGTTCGCTATAAACTCGAGGAACTTAGTTTTTATTAGATACCAATGAATCGCTCGGATACCAGACAAATACATTGGCACATGATATATTTCCGGCATGCTTGGATGCAAACCGAAGGGAAAACAAGCCAGGTAATTGAGTCAGTAACGGATGTCAATCCGCCTAAACGAAATCCTGGTCATTGGTACCCTAGAACATATCCGATCCACTTGCACTCCTCAGCCACACACACCCATCTCCTAAGATACTGTGGGATGTATTGGGATAGTATGGTGACTGATCAAAAGAGATTTGTCTGCTTGGGAGAGTGAAGTAGGGCGACGATCATCTCGAGCCATGAGGACAGGCTTTGATTATCCCAGCAGATGGTGGGGCCGTTTGTCCTTCGAATGGAGCGTAAATATCAAAGATAATCCGGACTCAAGAACTGACCGGGAAGGTGACATGTCGGGTTGGTCTGGGCACACTTGTGCAGTACTTTGGTGGTTCAAATAAGGAAGTGCAGACATGAAAGAGAATCTGACCGGAAGGACTGACCGGAAGTGACATGTCGGCTCAGGTCTGGGCACATTCGTGACGTAGAGGTTCAACTTTGCTACTCTTTCAAAGTCAAGCAATTCATGACGCGCGTGGTGCTCTTCACGCCGCCATCGCTTCATCATCAGAAAGAATACTCGGTGCGCTGCTCACACCTGAACTGTCGCTGTCCGTCACTTCTGAAGCCCGGGCACGAACCTGCACACCCCAGTCTTGGATGCTGGGGACACCACCCTCAATGACGACAGGGTGTTCCTCGGCACTCTTTCCTAGAACAGTTCCAGCGTAGCGCGACTCCTCGCCAGTCTTACTGTGTTTCTTCTTCAATGCAGTCAGGTAATCCTCCTTCTCGACGGCGTCAGGGTCCACCATGTCACCCTCGCTGGGCACAAAGCCGGCAACGCGTCGGATTTCACGGTGGGCGGGGCCAGTGATCCAGCCGAGGAAGGCATCAAGACCGCGCATATCTTCTTTCCCCTGCCATTCCTCTTCCCATTCACGTAGTTGTGGTCGTATGGCGCCTGCGTCCTGCAGAGCTTGGTAGATGTCTTCGAGGTCGGGAACTGGGTCGTATGGGTGCGCATTTGCGGCATGCTCGGCTGCAGCTGACGCGAGAATAATCAGATATCGCCCAGTCAGGTCCTGGATAGACTCCAAGACTGAGGGGCGTGTTGAGTGGAAGCCTTGAGCACGGAGGATTTGGATGATCGGAGGGCGGAGGAGAGCGTTATGAAGGTTCGGGCCCGACATTCTGCAGAATATATCGGCGAAGAAGGTAGAGAGAGTAGATGGACGTGAAATAAAAATGTAGAAGAAAAAAGTAAAGGAGTGTTGAAGTGTACAGGCGACTGAGTGCGCCATCGGGGCATAACCCTCTCATTGGTTAATATTGCCGGCAGTATTTTGACAAGTACATGTAGCTACGTTAAAAGTGTAGTATAACTACATCGGCTTGTCTACCGTGTATATACTATCTAAGTGCATTTTACTATGCAACTATATGCTGTGTTGAACCAGTTTTTTTCTTCTTCTTTTCTTAAGCCACATAATGGTAGTATCAAAATCATTCAAAAAGTACCGTAGTATAAAAGACACCCAAAAAGACATATACAATATGGAGTAATAATGCCATACATCGCATACTAATTACAGCCAACATTAGACATACCTAAAGTATTTTAGCAGGTTGTGTCGCTGGATAAAGATTGTAAAGCGATATACAACGCGTACGACATAAGGTGTCCCATATAGAATCAAAAGATACACCGGAGTGAAAAGAGGGATGAGTTCTTTATAAGCTTCAAGATCAAATAGTTACACCATGATGAAGTACAACTAACTACTCCGTATAGGTATAAAATTAGTATACAGGCCTCGGGAAGGCGGTGATTTGGGGCGGTAAGGTAGTATCCAAGAGAGCTACCTACGCCGGTAGCATACTTAGTCGCCCGTAAAAGTGTCGAAGAGACAGAGAGGCGATGTGACAGGGTTAAGTGTCAAGAGAATTGTGAAAAGCCCATATCTGATGTGCTAGGCTTTCCATGCCGACACGAGTCATGACAAAATCACTCTTATTCTGCGGTCTGGGCTGGCAATGGATGTCTTCGAAGGGAATGCAGATGCTCCCTTGAATATGGTCACAACCTGGCGCCGGATCTTTGGTGATCTCCATATTCTGCACCAGGAAGGGAATCCCACGCTCGTTGCTTTTCCATTGCGCAATCGTGATTCTTCCCTGCAGTACTTTGATACTGAGTACAACATTCACTTCTCCGTTGCTTTGGTTCAGCCAAAACATCATGTCGTCCTCGAGCTTTGCTGGTATCTCCTCGCATGCTACCTCAACTGCTATGCTGGGCCATTTGGTGTCAAAATGAGTCGGCCTCCAGGAACAATCGGCCCTCTTGATCCGCCCTGAATTGCCTCGGACTGACGTTGAACCCGTAGGAAGGAGTATATAATCTTTCTCCATTATTCCATTCCAACATTCGACCATGCCGACGAACGAACCGATTGCCACTGAATGTGCATCAGTCTCGAGTCTGATAAGAGCATGGTTAATGGAAGGGTCGTAGCTCTCGCATGATTGTGCGAGCAGATTTTCTTCAACATTCATATTATCAAGGAAGGAACGCTCATCCATAATAAAAATAATATAAGGGTTAGATAACTCTGTATCCTGTCCATGTGGCTCCAGTTCCTGATCTAGAATTTGAAGAGCATCTTCAATTCCCTTAAACTCAAATTTTGGGGTCGTAGAAGGAAGGCCGTGTTCAAACATGATGGATGTGAAATGTGAGAGAAATTTCAATGGGTTGTAAGAGAAGTTATAGTCCCCAAAATGACACAATAGGATGGACATGGTGCCTATTATGTAAATGTGCGGTAACCGCCCCGGTGGAACCTCACTTCCTCACTTCCTCCACTCACCTTACTCACCTTACCCTGCTACCAGGTATCATCATATCGCCACTATGCCGCCTTTAAAAATAAAATTCTCCAGGAGGCCAGATCCGCCAGAAGAACCAGCGCCTATACCTGCACCCGTGCCTGCGCCTGCGCCTGCTCCCCCAGCCGAAACTCCCCAAGCCCCCCGCAAGATCACACTCAAGATCGCACGAAAACCACACCCCGAGAGTGAAGAGAAACCAAAGAAGAAGAAGTCAACAAAGAAGCGACCAGCTGAAACTGCCGCACTGCCCGAGCTTGACCACGAACCCGAACCCGAGACGAGCCAGCAAGTCCCCAAGCGGATAAAGCTGATCCCATCCAAGAAGCCTGCCTTGCAGTCAATCCGCATCAAAAATAAAGGAATCGTTCCCAACCGACCAGTAGGTGTTGGGTATGACTCTGAAGCCTCGGACACCGAACTTGATCCGTCCATCGAAGAACAATTCATCTTACGGATGCTCCCCGGAGAGGACTGCGATATTATAAGAAAAGTAATCAACGACAGGACATTCAAGAATGGTGACGTCGGGATCAAACCCCTCACACGGGAGGGCCGGCGCTCCATCGTGAATGTTCGGGGCCACCAATATGCGGCAGCTCTCGTGGATCTACCCTGCATCATCGAGGGCATGAAGAGCTGGGACCGACGAGGCTGGTACAAGTCAGCAGATATCTGTCAAATGCTCTTGGTTCTCGGACGCGTCAACAGTGACCAAGAAGCTATGGAATACCCACTCCCCCCGGGCGTTGACTCTCCCGATGAAAAGACACTTCAATACGCACACGGTATCGCACCACCCCTCCGTTGGGTTCGCAAGCGGCGTTTCCGCGACCGCGTCAGCACCCGCACGATCGAACAAGTTGAAAAGGCCGTGGAAGAACTCATGGCCCAGGACGACAATTCGATTTTCCCTCCCAAGTTCGAGTTGGTGGACAGCACATCCCTGAATCGCGTCGAGGGCTTGGTACAATCAGGAGGCTACGGGGATGAATACGACGATGAGCAGGATGCATACGGTGAAGCGGAAGAAGAGATGATGGACGACTTCGAGGATGCCCTTGCTGCCGAGATGGAAGCAGCATTGGCTGCCGGGGATGATGAGGCACCGGGAGCACCCGTGCAGGCACACACTACGTCCCAGTCGTTCACACCAGCTGGAGGACCGACCGAACGCGGCGACACCTCTGCGGATGAGAGCAACATCTCCGACGAGGACGAGGAAGATGAGCTGGATGACGACCAAATCGAGCAGCAACAACAGCTCCAGCAGCAGCGCGAGGAAGTCGCCGAGCTGGAAGCTCTTATCAAAACCGAGACCGCACAGTGGGAGAAGGTGCAGAATCATATTTTGCGCAACAAGATGGGCCGACGGATCCAGGAACTGAAGAAGGACCTGCAACTGAAGAAGGTCTCTATGGGCATGCCAGCCGGGGACGATATCTGAGCTCCCGTTTCACATCCTATGTTCAGTGGGATTTTCGGCGTTACCATTTCATAATCATACCCAGTTTGTCCGACCGAATGCGAGTGCGGTCTCTATGTTGATACAAGCAGCCTTAGCTAGCTCGAAATAATGAAAGTTATGTCCAAACATTAACAACCAGATAAACCACGCTCCTTCCATCGCCACTTTCAGTATCTCTTTACTCCGCACTTACCACCGGATCACCAGTAGCCTCTTTAACCGCCTCCTCCACATCCAACTTCTCATCCCGTTCCAACTTTTCTCGCCTGGCAGCCTCCCTCTCCGCAACCTCCGCGTCCGCCCCAGGCTCACCCGGACTCCTCCCAACCCTCTCACCAAGAATACGATCATGCTCAGCCCTCTTCGATCCCAAATTCGCCGCCAGATCATCTGCTTCCCCGAAACCAGGATGGCCAGGCCCACCCGCACTCCCAACAGGGCCAGCATGAGCACCAGCCTGCGCGCGCTGCATCCCCATCCCCTTCCGCTGAACCGCGTCCGCAATATACCCCTCCGCGGGCTGCTCCTCCACGCCGTATTCTAAATCGACGTCCGGCGCATTGTGGAGTTCCTGTTCGTGTTGCTGGTGCTGTGCGCTCAGATGGGCTCGTGCTTCGTCACTTGAGGGCTGGGACTCTGCTGTGCGTTTAATTGCCCCGACTGTGTCGCCGTGGTGTCGGCTTGCTTCGGTGCTTGCTCGTTGCTCTTGTGGCGTGTGTGAGACGGGATTCGAGGACTGCGCGTAGGCGGCTTGTTTGGGGGGTTGGGCGGTTTGGGCGGCGGTTTGGGAGCGGGTCTGCATGGTGATACAATGGAATCTAGATTTATGTTTTGGAAATTGGATTTGGTCAAGGTATGAGAGATTAAGGAGTATGGAGTAAGTATAGCTCAAGAGCTGGATAACCGGCTGAAGAAAGTGACAGCTGAGTACCCACTTGTGACGTCAGCGTCTTCGACCAATGAGAGGGCGTGGAAGTGCAACCCTAAGGATAGTCGCGACAAGATTTGGTTGGCTCAATGGCACGGAGTAGTCTTGTTAGATGTCTTTTGTGTATAGATCTCTTTTTCCTTTCTTCGTTTTAAGATAGCCGGTAGAGAGAGTCGAAAAATGCTTAATTTACTTTTCCATGTATAACTTGAATCCACTCTACAACATAGGGGGTAAATCAACTGCACAAAGTACTTTGTCCTCGGCACTTCTGTACTAACTCAATAAGTGCGACCCAGCAAGGCTACCGAATCAACGACAATCGCCTTATTCTGCACAGATCGTCGTATTGACCCAGACTGCCGGGACTCCAAGCCCCCAACACGAACAGTATCAGTATCTCATCCCGTCTACCCCCGTCCATGTGGCGCCACTACCACCTGCTTCTAGACTAACTCCAACTGTAATTCCAAGTAATCTAACTAATCAGACTAATCAGACCGCCCCGGAAGTATGTCACCCAACCCCCTAACCCACTTCGACATCGTCCGAGGCATGAATTGGGGTGAGGGGAACATTGTGTGACCCAGTCCCTCCCCACTCGTTTCTCGCGATGTTCTTCTCCTGTCTTTCACACAGGCTGAACGCAGAACCCTCTCGGTATCTTACTCATGGCTGAACAGCTCTACTACCTGCCGCGCGGCTCGCGCATCCTGGTCACCGGCGCGAACGGCTTCATTGGGAGCAATGTCGTTCACAGTCTGCTTGAACTAGGCTTCAAGGTTCGTGGGACTGTCCGCGCACCGAAACCATGGCTCGATGAGATGTTCCGCGGGAAGTTCGGGCGGGACTCGTATGAGTCTGTTATCCTTGCTAACTTTGAGAACGTGGATACTCTCGTTGGTATAATGGATGGTGTATCCGGGGTGGCGCATGTGGTATGTATTCGGCGGTGGAATTAGTCGATGAGGGTATGTGCTAATGACATTGGGTTGTGTAGGCATCAGATGTTAGCTTCAGTGCGAATCCGGAAGAGGTTGTGCCGTGGGTGTTGAGAGCTGTTCATAATGTGCTGGAGGCTGCATCGAGAAATTTTGCTATCCGGCGGGTTGTCATGACCTCTTCTGCGGTCACGGCGTTGTTTCCGGAGCCAAATAAGGAGGGTGTTGTTGTTCGTGAGGGTGAGAGACCAGTTCTTGGAGAAGAAAAGGGAAGGATGTATTGGTTAATATTGTATCTAGACTCCTGGAATGACGAGGCTATCAAGCTAGCCTATGATTCGGATGCTCCACCACTTGTGAAGGGCCTTTACACTTATGCTGCCTCCAAGACCGAGGGAGAGAAGGCAGCATGGAGATGGATGGAGAAGAACAAGCCAGGCTTCCAATTCAACACCGTGTTGCCGGATTTTACCGTGAGTTGTATACCCGGATGACAGGCCAAACCTATGATATTGACTTCGAATAGCTCGGGAGAATCCTACATGAACAGATCCACGGCTCGACAATGGGCTGGGTCACTGGCCTACCAAAAGGTGACACACGGATTTTCGAGACATTTGTGCCGCGTAAGTTGACACTGCTTAGATTGTTCGATTATTGCTGATATAAACAGAATACTTCTGCGATGTTATCGATATTGCGCGTCTCCACGTAGCGGCCCTCCTCGACCCAAATACAGTCTCTCGTCGACTCTTCGGATTTGCAGCTCCGATCAACCTCACTGATGTAATCTCAGTCGTTCGAAAGCTCCAGCCTAATAATACATTGATTCCTGAACCTCCTGTTGACGAGGGCCGTGATCTGAGTGAGGTTATCCCGGCGAAGGAAGCAGAAAAGCTCCTACGGGAATTCTGTGGGCGAAAAGGGTGGACTTCGTTGGAGGATAGTATTGCCCAGGGACTTGAGGTGTCTCGAAAACCGTTGTGTTCGTTGTAACGTCCCATTTATTTTGCAAATACAATAAGAAATCTTCAAGTTGTTGAGCCGAGCAATAGTACAAAAGAGGTGACATTCTCCCGAGATCTCACTCTGCAGTTTCCGACTTTGCGTAAACTGCTACTGCCTTCTTTCTCGCTTTCTTCACCGTCAACGGTGTTGAGGCTTTTTCTTGAGACAATTTGTAGGCATTTTGGCTGCATGTAACACGCCCGACTGTTGACTTCGAGAGCCCTCTATCGACACCTGCCGCAATAGCAGCCCAGCTGGGTCGATCATCTTTCTTCATCAAGCGCGCAATGTAAGATGTAGTCTGGTCATTCACCTTAGGAGGACAGCCTGTTCTGGGCTTTGAAGACATATCTTTGCGTTCTTGAAGACGCGTTTTCGAGCGGTAAACCGTGGATCACGCGACGCGTAGATCTATGGCAATTTTGATGGCTGAATCCTCATTTTGAAGGGCTTTGATAATTGCTGCACGTGTTATTTCTGAACACTCGGTACTGGGAGCTGGCTTTTTGGCTTTGTTGATTGAGCCATGGTTACGTGGTGAAGTATCGTTGGAATGATACTGTCACTACTTGCCGATATCCTGACCGAAAAGAATCAGTTACCTCGGCAAACATCTACATATGTGCTCGACCAAAATGTATCCAAACCAGGCTTCAATATCGGTGATTCTTATCACAAAAAGAAAAAAGCGTGGTTAAAGTGTAACAAACCATTGGGAATATCAACCACGGATTTAACGCCCCTCAGCAAAAACCACTCCTATCAATGGCAAATTCCACACCCACGCTACAGCAAGCTGCGGTGGTGCAAAACCCAGGAGAAAATGCAACTATCACTCTTCAGAATGACATACCCGTCGCAAGTCCGGGACAAAATGAAGTTCTCGTCAAATTAACTTGCACCGGCTTGTGGTAAGCGCTTACATTCCGAAATGAATTCATCCTCGAAAAACTAACTCAATACCCATCAAAAAGCCGCTCAGAACTCCGCGCTGTGCTGGCTTGGGGCGCATACAACTCCATCATCGGCCACGAAGGAGTCGGAACTGTAGTGAAAGCAGGGCCCGATGTCTCGGAGTCCCTTCTCGGCGAACGAGTCGGCGTCAAATGGCTCTACAGTGCATGCAACGAATGCTCGGTCTGCAAGCGGGGATTCCCAAACTATTGCGCACAGCAGCTCAATACAAGTCGCCATGTCCCGGGGACATTGCAGCAGTATGTTATCGCCGATGCGAGGTTCCTGACCTTGATCCCCGGGGGCGTAGCCGATGAAGTTGCAGCACCGCTACTGTGCGCTGGACTTACGATGGTTGGTGCTTTGTCGAAACTTGATCATGAGCTGCAGGTGGGTGACTTTATTGTTATTTCGGGGTCTGGGGGAGGTTTGGGCCATATTGGGGTGCAGATTGCATCCAGGATTAAAAACTTGCGTGTTATTGCGGTTGATAGTGGTGATGATAAGAGAGCATTGAGTTTGGAGTCCGGTGCGGAGGTTTTCTTTGATTACAAGGCTGAAGATGTGGTTGCTCGAGTGCGTGAGTTCACTGGAGAGGGCGCGCATGCGACAATCGTCGTGCCGGGTACGAAGGAAGCATTGCAGATAGCGCCTAACCTGGTGAGAAACATGGGTTTTGTTGTGAATGTTGGGTTGCCGCCGAATGACTTGGATATTCCTCTTTCGGCTACACTTTGCACAGCGAGAGGTAAGATGACGGTGGTCTCATGGTCAATCATATACTAACTCTCGCAATGATAGGTCTCACCTTTATAGGGTCATCTGTGGGTACGGAGGATCAATTGACCGGCTTGCTGCAAGCTGCAGCTGCTGGAAAGATCGCACCATCGATCGAAGTCTTTGATTTCTCGGACGTGCCGACTTTGATAGAGAAGCTAAGGGATGATGGTATTACGGGACGAGCAGTGATCACTTTGCCACAGTAACTTGACATTCCATATTTCAATTTTAAGCAAATTGATAAGAGAGCAAAGAGGAGAAGAGGAGAGTTGCTGTATTCAATATAAGCAAAAAGAAGCCAGCTACTTCTATCAAGTCATGAAAATATATTTCCAAAAAGACATCGTAGTGTTACCAGAGGTATAACGTCCCTAACTAATTAACATCTTGGGGTCAGGTCAGGTCATTAAAGTATTACGTTCAGTAAAGTAGCTTTGTGTATATAATGACCAAATCATTTCCAATTCTCCTGTCAGACAACTTGACCACCCCTGCTCCGGGTGTCAAAACCTGAACCCAACCAACCTACTTCTTGATCTGGAGGACCGGTGATGATACTGGAGCAATCCAACAATGAATTGATTCCGGCAGACGTTGTTTTTGTCTACTGGACGATGAAACAATTAATCTCAATGAGTGGCTTGTATTCTTGTAAAGATAAGTTCTAGCTCATATCCATTGAGCCAACGGTCGTCCCAACCGTCACTACCTCCATTGACGGACTGCCTTATGAATCTCATGAATTTGCTTCGACCCAGAGACCGATATCCTGCCCATTCATATATGGGAATAGTTGGGATGCTTGTATATCTTCTTCGTCGGTATAGTCATACAGAACAGGACACCAAATTCATGGCTTGGTAAGGTGACTGGCATTATAGGCTTTGATCATATCTGCCCGAAGGTTGCCTTGTTGGCTTGTGTCGCGATTCCCGTTACCTATGCCTTTGATAGCGATAACCATGCACAATGAGCTCATGATCCTCCTCCTCTATTGCATTACAAGATTCGGTATCTCCATTCTGACGACAAGTTTGTTGATGGAAGGATCATAGCTCTTGCAAAATTCATTGCGTCATGGTGATTCTTCCCCGTTTGTGTACTCTGATGCTGAGTACAACATCGACTTCTCGTTGCTTTTGTTCAGCCAAAAATTCATATCTTCCACAAGTTTTGCTTGGGCTTCTGAACAGTTTACCTCCCTTGAACTCTTTCACGGTTTGACTCCGGAATCTTGGCTGTATCCATCTTCTGGACTGGGAAGCAATTCCACGCTCTCTTCGGGTTTCCCCTGTGATCTTTCCTCGTTTGTGTACTTTGACACTGAGAGCAACCTTTGATTGTCCGCTACTTTCATTAAGCGAAGCTGGAGATCGTTCTCAAGCTTCGCCCGTGATTCAGGTGAAGATGGGGAGAGAAGTAAGAAGTGGGAATCAATCTGGGAGGGTTTATATAGTTCTTCGGTGGTCATATGACCTTGTACTTTAGTCTAACCTACCCCGGTCAACGAAATTAGGTACCTTTTGTATGTTATACTAATGCAAATGGTACTTTCTTATACCCTCTTGGAAGTAAGTGACGAATAACCAACTACCGAGCAACGTAACTATTGCCACTACTCTTGATGAAGTATATAACTTCTCTTACAACTTACTGAAATTCGTCTCACATTTAACATCATGTCTGAACACGGTCTCCCTTCTACGACCCCAGAATATGAGTTTAAGGGAATTGAGGATTCTCTTCCGATTTTAGATCAGGAACAGGACCAATATGAAAGGAATATGGAGCTGTCTAACCCATATTTAATTTTTATTATAGATGAGCGTTCCTTCCTTGATAATATGAATGTTAAAGAAAAATCTGCTCGCACAATCATGCGAGAGCTACGACCCTTCTATCAACCATGCTCTTATCAGACTCGAGACCCAAAACCACGATACAGCAGCGGCAGCTTTTGATATAATATTCCAGGACTAGGTAAATACCTGCAACGATAATGATTCTCTTATCGCTACACTCACAGAAACCTACAGAAGTGGTACGGGGAAGCATAAGCGTGCGGATCGCTCGTGGCGCCTGTTCTCTCAAGTAGGTGGCCGATCAACGAAATGGCCCGCCTTGGTGGTTGAAGTTGCGTGGTCTGAGCCACGGACAAAGCTTGCAAACGATGTCAAGTTTTGGTTGACACAGTCCAACGGAGAGGTCAAGGTCGCGCTTACGCTCACGATACACCCTCGCGGAAGGATCGTACTGGAAGAATGGAAAGTCATCGGGGCCGACCAAACTCCTACCCCTTGCCAGAGATTGAGATTGTTCAAAAACCTGCCCCAAATTGTGAAAAGACCACAGGCAGCCTTAAAGTGCCATTCGAAGATCTCTACATGAGGTCGAAACAGCCGAATGAAACCGACCTCGTTATGACCACCGGCGCCATGGAACGTTTGGCAATGTTCGTTTGGAATAATCAGTTTGGCGATGTGTGAGGTCGGCCTGTTCTCATGAATTCTCTGCTTTGTACCTTCAATATCGAAGGCAGTCAAGACTTACAATAACCGTGCATCAACGTAGAAGAATCTGCATCGTAATATAGGAGCCAAGAGGTACAATTCTTTCCCCCTACTCTATACAAAAGATATAAATCGTACGAAATCCAGCGACAAAATGCCCGAAAGTCCAAAGAAGAACGGAGTACTCCGTATTCAACTCCCATTTGAAGATAAGAAATATTGTAAAGTTTTGAATGTTCAGTTTCGATTCTCCATAATCGCGTACCTTTTGTATGGGGTTGCGATACAAAAGGTACTTCATGTCAAGGATTATTCAGGGTTTATTATCGTTGCCCGCGCCAACACCAGGAAGGTGTGCTGGGCGCTTGGCAGATTCCTTCGAAGGACGCTATGCACGGCGAGAGCAGTGACATCAGCTCCGATCCCCGATTCCTCCCTTCTTGAACTCCGTAATTCACCATGGTTTACGCATTTATCCTCCCAACCACCTCGCCTCTATCATTTCAATCATTCATCTCCTCTGCCACTCATCCATCCCTCCCCCAATCAGCCACAACAACCCGCCATGCACTCCGCCTCGCATTGAAGGCCCACAAGCGCCTACCCCGCGGCCCGCGCCAGGATGCCCACCTACCCGCAGTTCTGTCCGCCTTGAACGAATACATCCCCTTCCTGTTCGCAATCTTAAATGGACTGAATGGTCGCTCTGTTACAGCGAATTCCCAAGACGCCTATACGACAGGGGGAACGAATCTCCGCGCCGAAGTAGTCGACATCACAGCCCATGCGGAGATAGAGTCGACATGGAGATATACGCTGTCATCCTCAGGCGGGTTGAATTTCGGGCCCGGGGGAAATAACACAAGCGGAAACGGTATCCGCACGCGGAATGGACGAGTCTCTGGCCGCGGCATCCACTTCGAATTGGCGTTTACGCTCACAACTCTGGGCTATGTACTGAGTAGGATGGCGCGCGCAGGAGTCGTCGCTACGCTATACGCACCGTCTACCCCGTCTGCGGAGGCTCGTACGGCTGCTGTCCAGACTGCGACACGGTATCTCCTACAGGCTAGCTCGGTGCATAATCTGCTCGCGTCCTCGCCGACTTTCACGGCAGCTACTGTGTCGACGGTACCGGATCTCGAGTCTGGTACGCAGTCTGCTCTGTCGTCTCTGGCCATGGCGGAGGCTACGTTACTGGCTGTTCTAAAGGATGATGCGTATGTTGTGGCGTGTATCCAATCGCGCAATCCGAATGATAAAGAGTGGATGGTCCGTGCACCTGAGATCCCGAAGGTGCGCGCTCTGCTATTTGCAAGACTATGTGTTCGTGCCGCAGAGTACGCCCAACAAGCGGCAGCAGGTCTAGGTGCAGTTGGGTCTACGTCTGGTCGTGCAGGCCGTGTGGATGAGGATTTGGTCCGCTATACAGGAGTCTTAGCTCGCGTTGCTCGGGCACGCGCCTGTCGATTCTTTGGTGTGGACGCTGAGCTATCAGGCAAAGTTGGTGAGGGTATTGCGTGGTTGCGAGCTGCACGCACTCCACTCGGCCTACGTGGAGCAGGGTCTTCGGAAGACGCTGCTAGCTCGGGAGGTTCTGCGAAGGGCGGACTGTCCCGTTTAAAGAGAGAGTGGACAGAGCGGCGCGAGGAGCGTCGAGTTACTAAGGACGCTGGCGGTAGTCGCAGCGACAAAGGTCCATTGGATGCGGGGGATGATGCTGGCCGTGATGAGGAGGGACGAGTCCTCGCGATGCTTGAGACGAATTGGGTGAAAATGAATGACACAGTAAGTTTGAATTCTTTACGTCACCCTAGCCCAAGTGAGTCTTAATATGTATGGCTTACTGACCCGATGCAGATGAACACACAGATCATTCCACCATCTGCACCATTGCTCTCTAATCTGCCTTCTGGTCGTGACATTCACTCTCCCCCGGCACCATACCAGCCCCCTTGTTTAGATGACGATCAACTCATGCGGATGCGTGCTCCACCAGATGAGAGAGATGACGTTCAATTCGGAAGTGACGATGATAGTGAAGACGATGCAGGACAGCCTGATGGCCGTGGACCTCCGGGTGCATTCCCGGACCGGAGTGCGACAGCCTCGACCGTTTATTATTGAACACGGATATACAAGTACATATAAGTACATAGCATGAGATACGGTGATTATACCGAAGTTAGCATTTACTTGGCGGTCCTAGGACGACAGGTGCCCGGTGAGGATACATTGGGATCTGAGGCCGCGTGTGGGTCTTTACTACGACCTTGAACAGCACTACAATATAGTAGAAGAAAAAGGAAGATCAAACAAAGTGATATTATGTACAGTACAAACGGACAAGAGCACAGAGGGTAATCTCCAGACCTCTTCTGCCATCTTTTCGTCTCCCCTCCGACGCGGACCCGATCTGGGTGGCTATAAGATCAAGATTGGACAGGATCGGATCGAAACCACGGGATTTCCGTCCAAAGCTGATCATTTCATCTCGGTATCATTTCATCTCGGTATCAAAATTGTAGAATCCCCGCGGTGTCGATATCAATCATCAAACCCGAGCCTCGAAACGCAATCGCATAGCTCAACACACAAAAGATATAAACACTTATTCCGGCTGTCCACCGAAGCGGTTCTTCTCCATGCCGAGGTAACCCCTAATCTTGCTCTCCTTGAGGAGCTCGAAGTACTTGTCTACAAAGGATATTAGGTCAGTACAACGCATCGCAATCACAACCAATCCAATCCTATCCAATTCGCGCTCAACCCAGTCATCCGGTATTTCAAAATTTAAAACCCAGAACGTTGGATCTCCTGGATATAGCGTAGACAGGATATATAATACGGAAACAACTCACCTCGGTAAACACCACACTTCTCAAGGTGGTTCACGCCCTCGCGCGCATAGCACTTGCCCAATTCCTCGCCGACGAGACGCGCCATCATGCTGCGGACCCACTGCTCGCGGATAATGGCATCGCGGGCGTTGTGGAGTGCGACGTTGTCCTCGAAGTCGACGCCTTCGTAGGTCGGGGCGACGGTGGGCTTCTTGGCGAGGAAGGCGGCGGACTCGGCGGTGGGCATTGCGGGTGGTTGGTTTGTGGGGATTGCGTTGAGGTGGGGTTTTGCTGGGGTGGTTGCTTGCTCGGGCGCTGGGCTGTGACGGCAAGGGTTGGGAGAGTGTTCTCTTGAAAGCTGCTTGATGCGGTCGTCGGCACGTTGATCTTGAAGGTTGGATTACGTGGTTTGTGATTGGGTGGATGGAGGGCGGTCAGGGTGGTGTTGTACGGGAGACGAGGGAGACCTTCTGCGCAGATCCCGCGGTCACGTGAATCTATACAATCCGAAAACGGTAGGTTAGAGTGAGCGAGGTTTCGATAATATTGGATTTTTATGTGGCTCAGATGAACTAGGGATTATTATGTTCAATGAGGAAATGACTTGCGAAAATATCATATTTTCAACGACCATGGTTGATCAAGATAATGCGGCATTACTAAAGCGATACATATACATACAAAACAAAACTTTAACACAAGACCTCCTATAATGCGAGGAATGACCACATGGATGTAGACCTGCCGTGGAAAGCATATGTGACGTGAATGGCATAAAACAATAAGGATCACTCATCCCCATCCACAACCTTCCCCGTCATTTGGTCGTATAGATCAACTACACCATCTCTCAATCGCTCCCAACCAGACCGGCCAAGCCAATTGCTCAGCTCGCGGTAGTAGTAGATTTCCGACCAGCAATCACGACCAAACATACACCCAGCCATGTTAACGACGAGGTCGTGTGCTGCCTGCTGATAGTGAACGACTGAATTCTCTCCGTCGCCGCATGCGCCAGGAGGGAAGGAATTGATGCTGCGTTGTGGTAAAAAGCCAACACCGCTCCGGACCCATGGTTGGCTCTGATATATGTACTCCAGAGCATCCTGTTCTTTGTGCTCCCATTCCATGTGCATCTGCTCGTACATGACGGGATCCCACCAGACATCGAGCAGCCGTTCGGTCCAAAGAGACCGTCGCAGGAAGAAAGATCCGAGATTGAAGCCGGAGCAGTCTTGTGTCAGAAGCATATTCAAAGAATCTGCCTTACCGTCGCCCTCGCGAGAACGACCGAGCTCATCGAGCCAGAACTCGGGTAGTGGATGGGTGATGTTGATTGGGTTATAGGCATTGATATCACGGTAGACGTGTGACTTGAGGTCATTGAATATATGGTGTTGGAGAGATGTGTCGTATTCCATGACCCAGGTGTTCAAGTCGAGCCACCAGAACCACTCTGCGTCTGGATACTTGCGCATGGCTTTGCGAATCACATCGCCCTTCTCCCAGCTCTCGCGCCATTCATGTGAATATCGCTTCTTGGCCAGCAAATTGGCTAGCTCGAGCTCGTAGCCCCATTTTTTCGCATATCTCTTCTTGTTCCATATGCTGTTGCGCTCAATGGCCCATTCACGGGCACCCTTCCACTCCATGACGCCTCCCTCCACATTCGATCCGAGTATGATGACGAACTTGCTCCCGCCGCCTATAGGCGACCTTCGGTATGTTTGGACAATGGCTGGAATACTGTTAGAATGTCACGTCGAAATAATATGGAATCAGCAATCACTTACTCGGCCAGCAAAACATATAGCCAATCCACACCAAGAATAGCGCCAATAATAGCCGGAACCGACCCCGGCGCACTGGTATGCGTAATGCGCCTAGCAGGCCACGCCCATTACCCGGACGGTTCCATTCCCGACCATAATCATCCTTGTCGACGTATCCCTGCGACGAAAGTCTTCTCAAGCTAGGAAATCGAGCGAAGATCTTGTGTCGTTGTCGAGAGAAGAAGCCGCTATTGCGTGTTGAGAATGATGGATACCCGCGCACCTCCTCGCTCTTCGCCTTGGCTTCAGCCCATGAAACGCTGCCTGGTGTGCCTGGCAATAATGAACCGGGCGATGGTTTATT